ACCACTATTTATAACAAAAAAATAATAACCGTTACAAAGGCGTCAGCCTGCAGCAAGCAGCAGGCACTGTTTTGAATTATTTATTTATTTATTTATTTTAAAAAAAAATCGGGCTAGCGGTTTTTCTTGAACCGGCCCAGACCGGTTTCGGGTCCGGGCAGCCCGTGATTCGGCCCACACGGTTCACGGGCCGGTTCGGGAGCGGGTGGGCCCATCTTGACAACTTTATATTAATCCCACCACCAACCCACCCAATCTTAATCCACCATGGCACAACCAAAAGTAATGTAGCCTTGTCGCTGTCACTACCATTTTCAACTTCAAAACCACCACCATCTCACCACCACAACCACCAATGAACCACCATTTTCAACTACAAAACCAACATTAACATCACCAGATCCAACAAAAATCACCCCTATCGCCAAATCGACCACCAACGATACAAACAAAAACCACTGCTACAAACAGATCAAAGAAAACCACTATGTCCTGTCGCCATCACTAGGCGCCGCCACCAACACCACCTCCAGTACAAAAACAACAGCCAAACCTGAGAAAGCGCACCACCTAAAACCACTTCACCGATGTCTCCATTACCATGGCATCCCTACCAACCAGCCACCACAACCACAGTACCACCGCCACATCCACGCTATCAACACCACCAACACCAACACAGCCAAATCTGAGAAAGCGCACCGCCTGGAACCACTCCGTCGATATTGCCATCATCAAACACAGGATGAAGGCGACGGTTAGGAGCGGGATGTCGGGAGAACTAAACACTGCACCAACATCACAACCGCCAACATAAACACCAAAAATAAGATCCAAAAATTAGAGAACATGATGAAGACAGAGGCTGGGAACTGGGTGTTGGAAGAACCAAACATTGTGATTTCGAAGCAGCACTCGGAAGAATTGGGCCGCAGTGCCCCAACACTACTTACCGGCGATAAAGATGGCAGTTAAGAACATGATGCTGACTGTTGTGAAGTGTGAGAAAGAGAGATAGGTACGGAGAGATGGGTGTGGAGAAAGGAGAGGGTATGTGACTGTCGTGAGGGAGATAGATAGATAGATAGATAGATAGATAGAAATGAGATGGGAGGAGTAAAAAGTTTCATTACTCACCCAACTTTACCTACTGTCATGTTATGGTCACTGAACTTTGATATGCTTATAATTAGTCATTGAACTTCCACGAAATTGGCTCCATCCATCACTTCCCTCACCACCGTTTGTATGGTCTCTTACGTGGCAAGACGGAATCCCCGGTGGCAAATGACAATGTCTTCATCTTGCCACGTAAAGAATTGCACCGTGGAGAGAATTCGATTTTAACTTGTTGGAAATAAA